AAGGAGGACCTGAGCTGCTGAGTCAGTGCTGGAAGGAGGGCCTGAGCTGCTGAATCGCTGCTGGAATGGGGAGCTGAGCTGCTGAGTCGCTGCTGGAAGGGAACCTGAGCTGCTGAGTCACTGCTGTAAGGGGGGGAGCTGAGCTTCTGAATTGCTGCTGGAAGGAGGACCTGAGCTGCTGAATCGCTGATGGAATGGGGAGCTGAGCTGCTGAGTCGCTGCTGGAAGGGAACCTGAGCTGCTGAGTCAGTGCTGGAAGGAGGACCTGAGCTGCTGAGTCGCTGCTGGAAGGGGGAGCTGAGCTTCTGGGTCACTGCTGGAAGGGGGAGCTGAGCTGCTGAGTCGCTGCTGGAAGGGAGAGCTGAGCTGCTGGGTCACTGCTAGAAGGAGGACCTGAGCTGCTGAGTCGCTGCTGGAGGGAGGACCTGGGCTGCTGAGTCGCTGCTGGAAAGGGGAGCTGAGCTGCTGGGTCACTGCTGGAAGGGGGCTCAGATAGAGCTTAGTTGCTGAGTCATTGCTAAGTGGGGAGGGCAGGGTGAGCTGAGCTGCTAAATCACTGCTGGGAAGGGAGCAGGGGATGAGCTGTTCAATTACTGCTGAAAGAAAGGAGCTGGTGAATCACTGCCTAGCAAAGGGGGGGAGGGGGCAGGGGGAGATAAACTGCTGAGTGGGTAGAGCAGGTGAGCTAAAAATGCTAAATCACTGCTGTGTAGGGAAGTAGAGTGAGATGAGCTGCTGAGTAACTACTGGGAGTGGGAACAGTGTGAGCTGAGCTGGTGAGAGAAGGAATTCAGAGCTTCTGCTGTAAATGTGAATTCACAGTGACTGAAGCTAAAAAGGTCAGTGAGAGCTTGTTAACCAGTTGTGTGCTGCCATATAGCAGAAATACTGCTACAGGGAGGCATGGGTATGCAAAATGACGTATATATCAGTGTTTTTGCAGTTCTGGGTAGGGGGTGCAGGCGCTCCCTACCCACGCTGTCATTCACGGCCTCTGCTGTCAATCACTGGGTCACGTTCGGTGATCGCTGAGTATCTCCGACGGGAGAGAGACCTTTGTATAAACAACACAGATTTCTCCCCTGTCAGCTCTTGCACACTGCTTTGTATGGCAGTGCATAGCACAGCCATACAAAGCAGTGTGCTTACAGTGGAACGCATACACACAGCACAGAGTGAAACAGCACACAGTTAACCCTTTGATCGCCCCACATGTTAACCCCTTCCTGTACAGTGCCATTAGTACAGTGTCAGTGCTGTTTATGAGCACTGATCACTGTATTGGGGTCACTGGGGATGTCAGTGACAGTCAGTTCCCCCCAGTGTCAGAATGCCTGCCGCAGTCCCGCAATCCCGCTATAAGTCACTGATCACCGCCATTACTAGTAGAAAAAAAAAATCCCAGTATCTATACCGCCATTTGTAAACGCTATAACTTTCACGTAAACCAATTAATTTACACGTATTGGGATTTTGTTTAGCAAAGACATGTCGCAGAATACATTTCTGCCTAAATTTTGATTTGTTACATTTTTTTACTGAACATGTTTAATAGCAAAAAGTCCAAAATATTGTTTTTTTTCTCAAAATTGTCAGTCTTTTTTTTGCTTATAGCGCAAAAAATAAAAAACGTACAGGTGATCAAATACCATCGAAAGTAAGCTAAATTTGTGGGGAAAAAAAAGACATGACTCTGTGCACAGGTGCCGCCCTGTAGCAGTATATCTGCTGTAGGGCGGTCCTTAAGTGGTTAAGGGTTGTCAGTTTTAAATCTGTGAATGAGTTGCCTGATGTTGTGTTTTGCTTTTTTTTTTTTTTGTTAATATATATATATATATATATATATATATATATATATTATATATATATACAGTCATGGCCGAAATTGTTGGCATCCTTGATATTTTTCCTGAAAATCAAGTATTTCACACAAAAAAGGTATTGCATTAACACATGTTTTGCTATACACATGTTTATTCCCTTTGTATGTATTGGAACAAATATAAAACAGAGGCAGAAAAGCAAATATGACATAATGTCACACAAAACCCCAAAAATGGGGCTGGACAAAAGTATTGGCACCTTAACTTAATATTTGGTTGCACACCCTTTGGAAAACATAACTGAAATCAGTCGCTTCCTATAACCATCAATAAGCTTCTGACACCTCTCACCCGGAATTTTGGACCACTCTTCCTTTGCAAACAGCTCCAGGTCTCTCTTATTGGGAAAAAGGACACCTTTTCCCAACAGCAATTTTAAGATCTCTCCACAGGTGTTCAATGGATTTAGATCTGGGCTCATTGCTGGCCACTTCAGAACTCTCCAGCGCTTCTTTGCCATCCATTTCTGAGTGCTTTTTGACGTATGTTTGGGGTCATTGTCCTGCTGGAAGACCCAGGATCTTGGACGCAAACCCAGCTTTCTGACACTGGGCCCTACAGTGCGACCCAAAATCCTTTGGTAATCCTCAGATTTCATGATGCCTTGCACACAGTCAAGGCACCCAGTGCCAGAGGCAGCAAAACAACCCCAAAAAAATCATTGAACCTCCACCATATTTTACCGTAGGTACTGTGTTTTGTTCTTTGTAGGCCTCATTCCGTTTTCGGTAAACAGTAGAATGATGTGCTTTACCGAAAAGCTCTATCTTGGTCTCATCTGTCCACAAGACGTTTTCCCAGAAGGCTTTTGGCTTACTCAAGTACATTTTGGCAAACTGTAGTCTTGCTTTTTTATGTCTCTGTGTCAGCAGTGGGGTCCTCCTGGGTCTCCTGCCATAGCGTTTCATTTCATTTAAATGTCGACGGATAGTTCGCGCTGACACTGATGCTCCCTGAGCCTGCAGGACAGCTTGAATGTCTTTGGAACATGTTTGGGGCTGCTTATCCACCATCCGGACTATTCTGCGTTGCAATCTTTCATCAATTTTCCTCATCCGTCCACGACCAGGGAGATTAGCTACAGTGCCATGGGTTGCAAACTTCTTGATAATGTTGCGCACTGTGGACAAAGGCAAATCTAGTTCTCTGGAGATGGACTTGTAACCTTGAGATTGTTGATATTTTGCCACAATTTTGGTTCTCAGGTCCTCAGACAGTTCTCGTCTCCTCTTTCTGTTGTCCATGCTTAGTGTGGCACAGACAGACACACAATGCAAAGGTTAAGTGAACGTCTCTCCTTTTTATCTGCTTTCAGGTGTGATTTCTATATTGCCCACACCTGTTACTTGCCCCAGGTGAGTTTACAGGAGCATCACATGCTTGTAACATTCTTATTTATCCGCAGTTGTGAAAGGGTGCCAATACTTTTGTCCAGCCCATTTTTGGAGGTTTGTGTGACATTATGTCGAATTTGCTTTCTTTCCTCCCTTTTTTTTGTTTTGTCCCAATACACACAAAGGGAATAAACATGTGTATAGCAAAACATGTGTTAATGCAATACGTTTCGTGAGAAATACATGATTTCCTGGAGAAATATCAAGGGTGCCAACAATTTCGGCCATGACTGTATATATTTCCACTTTGTTTTATCAGGTAAAGTTAATGAGCAGTATACATACAGTACACATTGTATCACAGAATATGACATGTAGACATGATAGTGTTTTATCATTTTCAAAATAAATTATGAAGGGAGGATCCCGCCTTATATACAGTAGTTTCTCCATTTCTTTAGTTAGGTTATCACATCTAGCTGTGATTCCTGAATAATCCAATGAACTTGATCATTTGTCAGTTCATAGGGTTCTTGTTCTTTATTGATATAATTGATGATAGCCTATTCTCATTGGTATACCTATATTTACAGTATATCAAGCTCGTTTTGTGATTAGATCATTTGGTTCAGATGTCCTTTAAGTCAAATATGACATTAAAACTTTTCGTTTATTCTCTGCTTTTGGTCAGGAGCCTGTAATCCCCTGGTCATTCTTATCTTGCTTCATCTCAAATGTATTTTCTTAATAAGCAGCATGACACTTCACCCTGACCACCAATATAATGGGGCACTACTCCACTGACCACCAATGTAAAGCGGCACATCACAACTGACAAGGTAAAGGGGCATTTCACCACTGACCACCATTTTTTTGAGAAGCTATGGCCACCAGTATGTGGGGGCACTTCACCCTGAACATCACTTTAAGAGAACACATCAATCTGACCAGCAATGTATTGGGGCACTACCAGGGGTGGACTGACAACTCATGGGCCCCCAGGCAATAGGGGATCATGGGGCCCCTATGTCCTTGCCCACACTCAAAAAAAGCCTATAGAAAAGGTACCAGGGACATTTCATGGGGCCCCCTGCTGACCCCAGGCCCTTGGGCAGTGCCTGAGTGCTCAAATGGTCAGTCCACCCCTGGGCACTACTCTCTAACCTCCAATGTAAGGGGACACTACACCACTGACCACCAATGTAAGGGCGCACTTCACCACTGAGCACCAGTATATGGGGTAACTACACCACTGGCCACCAATGTAAGGAAGCACTTCACCACTGAGCACCAGTATATGGAGAAACTACACCACTGACCACCAATCTAAGGGAGCACTTCAACACTGAGCACCAGTATATGGGGAAACTACACCACTGACCACCAATCTAAGAAAGCACTTCAACACTGAGCACCAGTATATGGGGTAACTACACCACTGGCCACCAATTTAAGGGAGCACTTCAACACTGAGCACCAGTATATGGGGTAACTACACCACTGGAAACCAATATAAAGGGTAACATCACTACTGACCATAAATGTAAGTGGGAACTTCATCACAGACCACCAGTGTATGGGGGCACTTCACCCTGATTACCAATGTAGGAGTTTCACCTGACCATTTTGTAATGGTGGCAGCAAGTTGGTGGAGTTGGGATTTCAGGTACAGAGAACTTGCCAATGAAAGTCTGCGTGAGCTATAGAAAGCAGGTTATCTATGTAACCTGCCGGTGCCCACCCATAACTGAAATTGTCATTTGAGATGAAGCACAGTACTCACCGCACATGGAGAGGATCCCGCAGGCCATCCAGATAATCAGCGACAGCCCCACATTTCCAGAATTCTTCAGGACCCCTTTAGGAGATATAAAGATACCACTTCCAATGATGGTACCAATTGTTAAGGCGATGGCTCGGTTCAAAGTTATTTTCTTCCGCAGGTAGACTTTCCCAGAATCCCCTGACATATCCTGAGCATCCCCCATGCCTGTATAGCTGCAGTCTGTGATTCCTCACCCCTTACAGAACTCTCTCTTCGGCCCCTGATCACAGCCCCTGTACTGTGGGAGGTCCAGGAGCTTGTGTGTCACTGCTGCATTGGGCTCTCACAGAAAGCACAGAGAAAGCACTTCACATCTGGGGGACACAGGGGGTTTCCAAATATGTCATGCAGAGCATCAGCAAAATCTCTGCAAGTGCATGCTGTTTTCTGCCTAAAATACGTCGACAAGAACTTCAGAACTCAATCAAAGTTCAGATGATTTATGAAAACTGAAGCCTGGGACAATCAATCAGTTTCCAGCTTTCATTCAATGCACCATGAAATACTGCGCGCTTATTTTTAAGGGTGGAGCTAGAGGGGTGATTTTCAGGAGCAAAATTACTTGCAATCACTAAAGGCAAGAGCATACTTGCCAATGACAGAATCACAGAATATACAATAGGGTTGCCAAACTCATCCTGAACACATATCAGTTACACAGGTTCTGTGGCTCATTAAGGTGGTAATTACATTCAGTGTCTTATCTGCATTAAATTAGCCGCAGAACCTGTGTAATTATATATGTGTTCGATTTTAAAGGGACAAGGTGGCAACCCTACTATACAGGGTAGAGAAATACTCATCTGTTTTCACGCCTTGCTGCTTCACAGGTCAGATAAGTGAGATGATTCTATGAGTGAGGGAGCGGCATGCAGAAAAAGATATTTTCTATGCACTATTTATTGATCTTATAGCTGACCAGTTGTCATCAGAGACAGGATCTCTAGTGTGCTAAGGTCCTATCAGTAGGGATTAATCACTATGGTGGTGGAGAGCAGGAGGAGCTGAGTTGCTGAGTCTCTGCTGGAAGGGGGAGCTGAGCTGCTGGGTCACTGCTGGAAGGGAGAGCTGAGCTGCTGGGTCACTGCTGGAAGGGGGAGCTGAGCTGCTGATTCACTGCTGGAAGGAGGACCTGAGCTGCTGAGTCACTGCTGGTAGGGGGACCTGAGCTGCTTGGTCACTGCTCAAAGGAGGACCTGAGCTGCTGAGTCACTGCTGGAAGAAGGAGCTGAGCTGCTGAGTCACTGCTAGAAGGGGAACCTGAGCTGCTTGGTCACTGCTGGAAGGATTACCTGAGCTGCTGAGTCACTGCTGGAAGGGGGAGCTGAGCTGCTGAGTCGCTGCTGGAAGGAGGACCTGAGCTGCTGGGTCGCTGCTGGAAGAGGGAGCTGAGTTGCTGAGTCGCTGCTGGAAGGGGGAGCTGAGCTGCTGAGTTGCTGCTGGAAGGGGGACCTGAGCTGCTGAGTCGCTGCTGGAAGGGGGAGCTGAGCTGCTGAGTCACTGCTGGAAGAAGGAGCTGAGCTGCTGAGTCACTGCTGGAAGGGGGACCTGAGCTGCTTGGTCACTGCTGGAAGGAGGACCTGAGCTGCTGAGTCACTGCTGGAAGGGGGAGCTGAGCTGCTGAAAGGAGTACCTGAGCTGCTGGGTCGCTGCTGGAAGAGGGAGCTGAGCTGCTGAGTCACTGCTGGCAGGGGGAGCTGAGCTGCTGAGTCGCTGCTGGAAGGGGGAGATGAGCTGCTGGGTCACTGCTAGAAGGAGGACCTGAGCTGCTGAGTCACTGCTGGAAGGGGGAGCTGAGCTGCTGGGTCACTGCTAGAAGGAGGACCTGAGCTGCTGAGTCGCTGCTGGAAGGGGGGGAGCTGAGCTGCTGAGTCACTGCTGGAAGGGGGAGCTTAGCTCCTGGGTCACTGCTGGAAGGGAGAGCTGAGCTGCTGGGTCACTACTGGAAGGAGGACCTGAGCTGCTGAGTCGCTGCTGGAAGGGGGAGCTGAGCTGCTGAGTCATTGCAGGAAGGAGGACCTGGGCTGCTGAGTCGCTGCTGGAAAGGGGAGCTGAGCTGCTGGATCACTGCTGGAAAGGGGCTCAGATAGAGCTTAGTTGCTGAGTCATTGCTACGTGGGGAGGGCAGGGGGAGCTGAGCTGCTAAATCACTGCTGGGAAGGGAGCAGGGGATGAGCTGTTCAATTACTGCTGAAAGAAAGGAGCTGGTGAATCACTGCTGAGCAAAGGGGGAGGGGGGCAGGGGGAGATAAACTGCTGAGTGGGTAGAGCAGGTGAGGTCAAATGCTAAATCACTGCTGTGAAGGGGAGTAGATTGAGATGAGCTGCTGAGTACCTACTGGGAGTGGGAACAGTGTGAGCTGAGCTGGTGAGAGAAGGAATTCACAGCTTCTGCTGTGAATGTGAGAGTGAATTTCTGCACAGTGACCGAAGCTAAAAAGGTCAATGAGAGCTTGTTGACCAGTTCCACGTTACCCTGTAGCATAAATACTGCTTCCGGGTGGCACGGTTGTGCAAAATCATGTATATATGTGATTTTGCAAGTTCCGGGTAGGGGGTGCACGTGCGCCCTACCCACACTGCCATTTGCGGCCTCGGCTGTCAATCACTGGGTCCTGGCTGGTGATTTCTCGCTGGCACTCTGTGATCGCCATGTATCTCCGACCGGGGAGAGACCTGTGTATAAACAACAGAGATACAGTTGCATGAAAAAGTATGTGAACCCCTTGGGATTACGTAGAGTTTTGCATGAATTGGGCGTAAAATGTGCTCTGAACGTCATCTAAGTCACAATAGAAGAACACAGTCTGCTGAACATAATACTACACAAACATTAGATGTTGTCATGGTTTAATTGCACATAACATGTAAACATTCACAGTGCAGGGAGGAAAAAGTATGTGAGGCCCTAGCTTAATGACTTCTCCCAGAGCTAATTGGAGCCAGGAGTGAGCCAACCTTGACTCCAATCAGAGTGATGATATTGGATGTGTTGCTGACAGCTGTCCTGCTCTTAAAAAACACACACCTGTTTTGGGTTTACTGGTTTCAAGAAGCACTTTCTGATGTGAACCATGCCTCGCAGAAAAGAGCTCTCAGAAGACCTCCGATCAAGAATTGTTGACTTGCATGAAGCTGGAAAGGGTTACAAAAGTATCTCCAAAAGCCTTGATGTTCATGTGTCCATAATAAGACAGACTGTCTACAAATGGAGAAAGTTTAGCACTGTTGCTACTCTCCCTAGGCGTTGTCGTCCTGTAAAAATTACTGCAAGAGCACAGCGCAGAATGCTGCATGAGGTAAAGAAGAATCCCAGAGTGTCAGCTAAAGACCTACAGAAATCTCTGGCACATGCTAACATTTTTGTTGACACGTCTGCAATAAGGAAAACATTAAACAAGAATGGAGTACATGGGAGGACACCACGGAGGAAGCCATTGCTGCCCAAAATGAATTTTGCAGCACGTTTGAAGTTTGTAAAAAAGCACCGGGATGTTCCACAGCACTACTGGCAAAAATATACTGTGGACAGATGAAACCAAGATTGAGTTGTTTGGGAAGAACACACAAAACTATGTGTGGAGAAAAAAAGGCACAGCACACCAACATCAAAACCTCATCCCCACTGTAAAACATGGCAGAGGGAGCATCATGGTTTGGGGCTGCTTTGCTGCCTCAGGGCCTGGACGGATTGTTGTCATTGATGGGAAAATAAATTCCAGAGTTTATCAAGACATTTTGCAGGCAAACGTACGACCATCTGTCCGCCAACTGAAGCTCCGCAGAGGATGGGTGATGCAACAGGACAATGACCCAAAGCATACAAGTAATTCAACAAAACAATGGCTGCAACAGCACAGAATACGCCTTCTGGAGTGGCCCAGTCAGAGTCCTGACCTCAACCCGATTGAAATGCTGTGGCATGATCTTAAGAGAGCGATTCACACCAGACATCCCAAGAATATTGCTACACTGAAACAGTTTTGTGAAGAGGAGTGGTCCAAAATGACTCCAGATCGTTGTGCAGGTCTGATCTGCAACTACAAGAAACGTTTGGTTGAGGTTATTGCTGCCAAAGGAGAGTCAACCAGTTATTAAGTCCAAAGGTTCACATACATTTTCCTCCCTGCACTGTGAATGTTTACATGTTATGTGCAATTAAACCATGGCAACATCTAATGTTTGTGTAGTATTATGTTCAGCAGACTGTGTTCTTCTATTGTTGTGACTTAGATGACATTCAGAGCACATTTTATGCCCAATTCATGCAAAACTCCACGTAATCCCAAGGGGTTCACATACTTTTTCTTGCAACTGTATCTCCCCTGTCAGCTCCTGCACACTGCTTTGTATGGCTCTGTATAGCACAGCCATACAAAACAGTGTGCTTACAGTGGAAAGCACCTACACAGCACACAGTGAAACAGCACACAGTTAACCCTTTGTTCGCCCCACATGTTAACCCCTTCCTGCCCAGTGCCGTTAGTACAGTGTCTTTGCTTTTTATGAGCACTGATCACTGTATTGGTGTCACTGGGGATGTCAGTGACACCAAGTCAATTCCCCCAAGTGTCAGAATGCCTGCCGCAGTCTGGCTATAAGTCACTGATTGCTGCCATTACTAGTTAAAAAAAAAAAAAATTGTAGTATATATACCGCCATTTGTAAACGCTATAACTTTCATGTAAACCAATTCATTTACATGTATTAGGGAATTTTTTTTAGCAAAGACACGTAGCAGAATACATTTTGGCATAAAGTTATGATGAAATTTGATTTTTAAAATGTGTTTGCTGGACATGTTTAATAGCAAAGTAGTCAAAAATATTGTTTTTTTTCTCAAAATTGTCAATCTTTTTTTGTTTTATAGCGCAAAAAAATAAAAACTGCACAGGCAATCAAATACCACCAAAAGAAACCTCAATTTGTGGGAAAAAAAGACATAAATTTCATTTGGGTGCAGCATTGCATGACCACGCAATTGTTAGTTAAGGTAACGCAGTGTCATAATGCAAAAAAATGGCCTGTTCATAAAGGGGGTAAATCCTCAGGAGGACAAGTGGTTAAAGCACGATTACTGCATGCTATAAATGTCAGGGCCACAAAAGAAAAAATTAGAGAAATGGTCCCATGAGATTGTCACCCTTATCACCCATTTGTTTTTTATATAAATTTCACAAGGCGCAATCCGGGAAGGATGTCAGATGACTACCTCCCGGATCAACGAGAGTCCCGCCCGGGCGTCCTTTTACTATTGGCCGTGTGGGAAGTGGTTAAAGTAAGATAGTTTCAGGGTAACAAAACATTTAATAGCAGATTCTTTGATTTGCAAAGTTTCCAGTGTTTCAGGATGTCAGTTACCTCAGCAGTTAGCAAAGGCCAACAATGTCCTTAACACCAGTTTTTTTTGCTTGCAGTTATTTCGGATAAGATATTCAATTCACTTGTATAAACAACCTGCTTTATCTATGCCGCTGGTTATTTCTATTTTTTTAGGGCTCAGCAGAACTCTTTGACCTTTATATGACATATGTCAAAGTGGTTGTTTCCACATTCATTCATCAAAACTATAGTATCTAGAAAGAGACGCAATGACTTATAATTCTCATTCCTAAAAGGACTTTAGAAGCTATATTTACATTAGAAGCTATGTTTACATGCTGATATTGGGTCACAAATTGCATTCAATGTGTCATGTAATATCACTATAGCTATGAAATCAATCTGTTCTTCTGCATATAAAAACACTTTAGAATTGCTTTCCCACTCAGTACAGTCTGGTTAGTTGAGGTAAGTTTTAAATTTTCTAGACAGACCTGTTTGCAGAATCGGATTAGGCAGTTATCCTTTCATGCCTTAGGCCATGGGTGTCAAACTGGCGGCCCTCCAGCTGTTGCCAAACTACAAGTCTCGTGAGGCATTGCAAGATTGACAGTTACAAGCATGACTCCCAAGGGCAGAGGCATGATGGGACTTGTAGTTTCACAACACCTGGAGGGCCGCCAGTTTGACATCCCTGCCTTAGGCCATTCACATTGTCCAACAGAGCTGATTCAACAATTTGAACTATTCACAAGAATTTCCTTTCTTCATTTTTTTTTTGTACGTGAATGGCTCTCTTTTATCAGATTTGTAACTTAAATCTGTCCTTAAAAGATGTTGATGGTGCAGGATATGCAGCTGGAGTGCATCAAGACGTAGATAGGTGTCCTGCTCTTTATATCTATCTTGCTCTTTGCATTTATTACACATGTCCTTGCCTTTTATGATTATTAATTAAAAAACACAATAATATTATGAATAGTTTACATGTTTTCTGGTGTGGAGGATTTTTTTTTCCTCCTGTTAAAATTCCAGTTCTCTTGCAGGGTATGTGGGGTAAGTATTTGGAATAGCTAGCTGCTCATATTCCCTATTTGCTGTGTTGGATAGCCTTGTGTTCATCTGAAAGGAAATGATTTAGGTGGATTCAAAATCTCAGACCTTCTAAATAAAATGGTATCTGTTCTGGCCACATATACAGTCAGGTCCATAAATATTGAGACATCGACACAATTCTAACATTTGTGGCTCTATACACCACCACAATGGATTTGAAATGAAACAAACAAGATGTGCTGTAACTGCAGACTGTCAGCTTTAATTTGAGGGTATTTACATCCAAATCAGGTGAACGGTGTAGGAATTACAACAGTTTTCATATGTGTCTCCCACTTGTTAAGGGACCAAAAGTAATGGGACAATTGGCTTCTCAGCTGTTCCATGGCCAGGTGTGTGTTATTTTCTCATTATCCCAATTACAATGAGCAGATAAAATGTTCAGAGTTCATTTCAAGTGTGCTATTTGCATTTGTAATCTGTTGCTGTCAACGCTCAAGATGAGATCCAAAGAGCTGTCACTATCAGTGAAGCAAGCCATCATTAGGCTGAAAAAACAAAACAAACCCATCAGAGAGATAGCAAAAACATTAGGCAGGGCCAAAACAACTGTTTGGAACATTCTTAAAAAGAAGGAACGCACCGGTGAGCTCAGCAACACCAAAAGACCCGGAAGACCACGGAAAACAACTGTGGTGGATGACCGAAGAATTCTTTCCCTGGTGAAGAAAACACCCTTCTCAAAAGTTGGCCAGATCAAGAACACTCTCCAGGAGGTAAGTGTATGTGTGTCAAAGTCAACAATCAAGAGAAGACTTCACCAGAGTGAATACAGAGGGTTCACCACAAGATGTAAACTATTGGTGAGCCTCAAAAACAGGAAGGCCAGATTAGAGTTTGCCAAACGACATCTAAAAAAGCCTTCACAGTTCTGGAACAACATCCTATGGACAGATGAGACCAAGATCAACTTGTACCAGAGTGATGGGAAGAGAAGAGTATGGAGAAGGAAAGGAACTGCTCATGATCCTAGGCATACCACCTCATCAGTGAAGCATGGTGGTGGTAGTGTCATGGCGTGGGCATGTATGGCTGCCAATGGAACTGGTTCTCTTGTATTTATTGATGATGTGACTGCTGACAAAAGCAGCAGGATGAATTCTGAAGTGTTTCAGGCAATATTATCTGCTCATATTCAGCCAAATGCTTCACAACTCATTGGACGCTTCACAGTGTAGATGGACAATGACCCAAAGCATACTGCAAAAGCAACCAAAGAGTTTTTTAAGGGAAAGAAGTGGAATGTTATGCAATGGTCAAGTCAATCACCTGACCTGAATCCGATTGAGCATGCATTTCACTTGCTGAAGACAAAACTGAAGGGAAAATGCCCCAAGAACAAGCAGGAACTGAAGACAGTTGCAGTAGAGGCCTGGCAGAGCATCACCAGGGATGAAACCCAGCGTCTGGTGATGTCTATGCATTCCAGATTTCAGGCTGTAATTGACTACAAAGGATTTGCAACCAAGTATTAAAAAGTGAAAGTTTGATTTATGATTATTATTCTGTCCCATTACTTTTGGTCCCTTAACAAGTGGGAGGCACATATGCAAACTGTTGTAATTCCTACACCGTTCACCTGATTTGGATGTAAATACACTCAAATTAAAGCTGACAGTCTGCAGTTAAAGCACATCTTGTTTGTTTCATTTCAAACCCATGGTGGAGGTGTATAGAGCCAAAAATGTTAGAATTGTGTCGATGTCCCAATATTTATGGCCCTGACTGTAAGTGTTTTCTAGGCCTGGGCTTCAGTTCACCACAAAGTTGCCATAACAGGTGAATTGATTGATATGCTGATTTACTGTGTACTCATTATTTGTGACTTACTTTTTCTCTGTTGTAAACTGGAGAGTGTCATCAGAGATCTAGCAGTGTTTGGCATTGCTCCCAATTGTCCCTCCTTTGAGACCAAATTCCTCTGTCCCTCATGCAGCTTCAGTTGTCCCTCTTTTTGGTTTGATGTGTACATCTCTATACGAAAGGTACTATTTTACTGTCAAAAGTATTATGCTGCACTAAACCTTTTATCCAGCCTTAGATTACTGCATTTGTTTTTTAGAAAAAACAATATAAAGGAAAAGTAGACGTAAGAAAAAGTACTTGTGTTGTTTAGCCAATCATTTTCTGCATGTTAGATCTTTGAGGTCCATGTAACTGGGTACATGTCCTTTAATACTTACTGTGTGTGAAACGATGTCTCTCTTTAAAATTTCTGAAATTTGGGAGGTATGTTTTTGATACATTTTCTCAGATACTGGTAAGGGCATTTTCAATGCTGGATTGTAGAATGATTGTTTAGGCTGCAGTTGTGGGCTGGGGTCAGGTTGGTAACCTGGCTTTTGGGTATTGTCACCCACTTTGTGGGTGGACAGTGGTTGGTGAACTGTTTTTTGGTTGGTATAAGATATTGCGGCTTGAGTCTTAGTGACTAAGCATGTTGGTCTGTTAATGGTTAACAGCGGTTCTGTTTGATATTAAAGGTTACAGTTAATTTCATAATTAAAAATGATTTAAACCCAATAAAGGGGCCGCGGGCTAAACTTTTCCACAATCCTTGTTGTGTATTTATTTTATTATTTAAGTATGTTCTTATTAAATTCTGGGTGTTAATGGGGTGTACAATCCCATGTCAGGGCCACGAAAGAAAAAAATAGAGAAGTGGCCCCATGGGATTTTCACCCCTATCAACCATTTGTTTTGTATATAAATTTCACTCTTAACCTTCCTGGCGGTAATCCTGAGTGTAGCTCGAGGTTAACTTTCAGTAACAGAAGCGGTAACCCCGAGCAACACTCAAGATTACACTGCAGTGGTCCGTTGAGCGCTTACCTTGTCCTGTGGTCCTGCGATGTCCTCCCACTGCGTCCCCGGCCATATCCTCCAGCCGATGCCAGCATCCTTCTTCCGGGTCCCGTTCTCTGCGAGCGTCAGGATGTACGGGGGGCAGAACCGGCGGGTAATTCAAAAAAGTTACAATGTGACACACACACAATTCATTGTAATATATTAGTATTACATTACTGTATCAATCCATTTCACCTCAGATTTATCCCTAGTGCTTTGTCCAGTGCCCTGCCTGCACTTTGACCATTCTTTCTGCCTGGAAACTTGAGAATGTCCATGGCATCCAGAAAGCGTCCCTGTATGCCAAAAGCGGTTTTGGACCAG